ACCTATTTTTTTTCTTTTCATTCTGACTCTGAATCAAAGTTTTATTTGTTAATGGTGCTGCAGTTGCCATCCCCATTCCATCTGATGGAGCTCTGCAGGATATCTGGTCTCTGATCAAGCTCTGGAGGTAGAAATTACATTAAATGTTATTAAATACAGGTTGCAGTTCTGTAGGAGTCCGTAGGAGTATCTGGAGAGCGGGGGTATGGAATGAGAAGCTTACATGGATTATGCATGGAAAGCAGTGCAGACCTCAGAGCTTGAGCGTCTGAATGAGGATGTGCCAAATTACAGCCTTATGTTGTGATAGATTCTCATATTCCCTGTTTGGCTTGGCCTGTGGAGTGTATTGCTGTAATGGTATGTGGTATTGAGGCTGTGTTAAGCCTTTATTATTAAACTCTTATAACTCCTATGGGACTGATGGTTTGTGGTTTCTCAGGACCACTTCCAAAGCAGCACACAATCATGTTTTTTTTTTTTTTTCCTGGGGAAGTTACTTTATTGCTGAAATCTGGTTTTGCTTGCCTTTTTTTTTTTTTTTAAGGAAAAAAAAAGGATGAAAGAAGTTATTGGTTCAGCTTCTTTGGTTTCCAATAGGATAAGACAAATATCTACAAATCCTTGCAGGGGGAATCTGTAAAAAGCAATAAAAAGTTAGTGGCTTCTCAGAGGGACTTACTATAAAAGTCTTAACTGAAATTCTGAAACAGCACTTAGGTAAACATGCAGTTTATATACAGTTCTTGTTTAAATGTGGATTATGTTTGCTGTTCTCATTCTGTGTTGCCACTGTTTTCAGTTTGTATACTGCATTTTCATCAACGATGAAATCAAAATAAGAACAGTATTTGTATTGGAAGTGGGTCTGTGTATTTGCTTTTTTATGATTTTAGGAACTTAACACAACTGAATTTAAGAGCTGTTTTCACACATCTCTGGTGCAGTACCCATATGTAAAATGTTTATCCTGTGCTGTGCATCTTTCCCTCCTGGAGTACGAAACAGTTTACTGGTCAGGATCATCACTCATTTATGAAGACCCAAATCTTTGTTTATTTTTCTGTTTGGAAACCAAAGAGGTGGAAAAGATATGGCAATCAGTAAGGAGTAGCAGTTAAAGAGCTGTTTGGTGGCCAGAAATGCCTAGAGCTCAGGTGCACAATATATGCAGCAAGATGAGTAATGTAATTTGCCTGTCTTGGGGATGGGGGAGTGTGGTGCAGATTTAACTGGGCCCTGAGAAAGCTCATGGTTAACAAAACAAACAGGAGGAAGGACCTAAAATGGGGGACACTGGAATGAAAAGTGGGGGTGTGTGTCAGGAGATAAGGGGTCAGCAACACTTGAAGTGCATCCCTTGCCTTGAAATACAATCAGTTCACATACCTGGATGACTTAGCTGGGCTGTGGTGTAAGTGCAGGAGCAAATGTAGTCACCTGAGATTTGCAGGTTGGGGGGTTTTTTTGACTTCAGGAGAGGAGTCTGAAAATCCGGTTGTGTTCCTTCAAAGGCACATTCAGCTCTGTGTCCAGCATGGAGCATTGTTGGAACTGAGTTTAAATTCGTTCCCGGAGCAGCATTGGGTCTCTGCACAGTCTGTGTTGGAGCTCCTGGTTCCTGGATGAAATGGGACCCTTGTGTTTGTTCCAGAGCAGTCAAGCTGCTCTGTAAGCAGGGACCTGGGCAACACTCCTCCACACTCCAAAGGGGCTGTGATGCAGTGCATTTGGGTCGCCCTGCACAGCACTGGTTTTTGGGGGATGATGGAGCAGATTCATGTGTTGATTTGTGATGCTCTGTCTGGATGGTGGGAGGTGAGGGGAAGTGACCCAGAGCATAGGTCCCAATGCAGCTTTAACCTAAAGTTGACACAAAGTGACCCAAAGCAACTTTGCAGTCTGGCTCGTGAGATCTCAGCCATCATTATTCCTGGCACTGAGAGCCTTCTAAATAAGTGAGTGTTTATGCTGTCTTCACTTCTTCTGATGGATTGAATAAGATCCAGATTTACATTTGTATTGTGCTGTATCTTGGGGTTTCCTTATTTTCTTTTTAGAACTGCTGTAGTCACTGGAATAAAGATTGTAGTTAACATAAAAACAAGGTGTAAAAGGCTGGCACTGTGGTGTGTGCAGCCTGAAGCTGTACATATTGGCAAGTCACTGTGTGCCATATTCCATGATTTGGGCATAAAGGCTGCCCTTCAGTTAGAGCAGGATAAAAAACATCTAAGCTGCTTTGTGGAAGTAGGTAGCTGAGAGGTTGGGGACTGCTCCTTCAGACATGAACACCTCTTGGCACCTAAACCAAGGGCCTGTGTAAGTGGGTATGTTTTACGTTGTACCTTAATAAGTTTTGAAAGATAAAACCTTTGAGGATTGCCTTTGAAAGGTAGAGCAGACTCAGGGCTTGGGGAAAGGCACTGGGCACAGACTGAGCAGCCACTTTGTCTCAGCAAAAAGAAGTCTAGAAAGTCTGGAGGATTTTGAACTGATGACTGGAAGAGATTTGAAGCTAGAAGCAAAGAAACATTTCTTCTTATGTTTGTGAAAGCAGGACTTGGTGTATTTGCAATAAATCTGGCTTGCCTCAAAGAAGAGCTTATTTCCATCAAATTCTGACAGAAATAACCTGTTGTTCTGAATTTGGTTGAATGTGAATAGCTGTCTGGGTAGAAGAAAGGTGACACATGATTATCTTCTCAGCTTTTTTCAAGTTTATAGTATCTTCCCTTTTGAAGTGCTAGTGCCAGAAATAAACACAGTGTTTTAATAAAGATCTATGATTTGTGCAATTACTTGTGCAGGTCGAGGGGGAGTTGACTCTAATAGAGGTTATTCACAGTGAATTTGATGTGGAAACTGTGAAACTAGTAGTTGCATGGAGGACTGGCTTGGAAAAGGGAGCTTACTTTGCTTGTAAATTAATTTTTTTATATGAGGAAGATAACATTCTTAGTTAAAGGAATGAAATATTATACTATTTTTGTGGGCTGCAATAATGGTATTAATTTGGTTCTTGCAGTGCTTTTCAGCCATTCTTAGATAAGTCCTAATATTTCATGTGCAGTGTTTGAATGCAAAAGATACTGTAGGAAAATTAACAACATTTAAATTTGGCATTAACTACAAAGCAATACTTCATGATGATAAAAATCTCAACAGTTTTTTAAAAGTAAAACCCCACAGAGATACTTTAGAATTGATGGCAGATGAAGTTAATGCAGTTAAAATGAATTAAACTCCTTGCTATTTAGAATAATATAATGATGTCTGAATTTTATTCCCAAAAGAGGAAATACAGTTGTTAAGTCCAGATGGATTTTTGTTTTTACTGGAGTAAGTTTTGAGACTAGTGATATCTTCTTTTTTTAGTGTTACTACCATACCGTTGGAATTGAGACAGCATAGACCTTCTTTTTTTAAATCGTTTTAAACCCAGTTAACAGTCTTACTGTGTTTATTTTGAAAATTAGCACTTTCATATTGAATTTTTAAGAGTTGGAAAATAAGCACGAGGATGATGTACGGTGTAGAGAAGCCAAGGGCTCGGTCCTGTGTCGAGGTATTGTCAGCTGTTACACAGTAACTGTGTCACTGTGATTGTCGCCTGCCCAAATTTGGGGGGATGCAGCAGGAGCTTAAACTCTTTGCAGCAGGCTAAGTCTGCTTGGGCTTTTTGCCTTGCACTGAGGGCTTGCACCTTGGCAGCATTTGTGGTGCTGCAAATGATGTGTGATCAGCTGAGCACATCTGAAACCTAAGTTACAAAGAGAAACGTTCAAGGATTCGATCTGTTAATTTAGCCAAAACTGAAAGGCAGTTCTGCTGTTGCTGTGTCAATATAAAGCTTCTCTTTCCATAAAATTATTGATCCTGTCGTGGTGGTCTGTTATTTTTTGTGTTTTACTCATTCACAAGTTGTCTCTTAAGTTCTGGACCCAATTCTGCTCCACTGGTAGTGGAGTAGAATTTGGTAGGCTTGCTCCTTCAGTTAGGATTGGCATGAAAATAGATGGCAAACCATGAGGCTTACTACCAAAGTAAGTGTTAGCTTGTCTTAAGTAAGCATAAAGCTGAGGAAAAACCCATGCTGTTGAGCATAATACCATATTGCAGCTCCACTTGGAACAGAACATCAAATTATTACCAATAATTTTGCAAAGATTCCAGGCTGGAAGGGTGGTATATGATGAAAATGAGTGACTGCTGTAGGGGTTTGGACCATGAGGTGAGCTAAGTGCAAGCAGGCAGTAAGGTATTCTGTGTGGCCAAATGTTGTTGCATATATAAAAACTAGGAACTTTAAACCACAATTGACAAAAAGGGTGCCCCATCATATAAAACAGTGACAAAAAGTATTGGATGTTAGCTGGTGAGCAAGAGTTGTCATTGCAGTCATGGATAAAGAACTGCTGTGATCCCCAGATGGGGATAAAAGGGTATTGAGTAGAGAGGTTATATTTTCTTGATGCTGAGGCACATGTGCTGCATAAAGGAAAAAGGTGAAGGTTACTGATGAATTGAAATGCATTGAGTTGGGGAACCACTAGTGTGAGTAAAGATGTGGGAATCATGGTGAAAAGTGCAAAGGGCTTGTCTTAGCAAACAGTGTCAGGGAAGAATTGATCATAACAGGCAAGGCCCCTAAGTGGGGACAAAACATTGGTAATACATTTGATAAGAAAAAACTCTCTAGTCCATCAGTCAAAGCATGTTACGATTCAGTTTTGGTAGGGTCAACCAAGCTTATTAGTCATAAAATGAAATTATTTTCAATGAATTGTAGCTACTCCACTGGGTAATGACACTGCATACTCCGTTGTTCTGCCTTTGCTAGATTCCTCTTGTTTTGTCTGGTTGCTGAAGAAGTTGTTCTGCTTCCTGGCAGAAGGGAGCACGAGGCATTACTTAAGCAAAATAACAAAAAAAATGTTACAGCAGGAAATGGTGCTGAAAAAAAAAGGGGAAAATGAACTTGTACTCTTGTGTTACAGATTCAGTGGTTCTTTCCTTTGACTCCGTTGGACATACAATAGGCTCAGGTACAACATTGTGTTCTTCTCTATCTCCCACCTCATGACAAGGCTTCTACTTAACTGGACATGGTAGCCATGTTGGGAGGCAGGCCACTGAGTCAGAGTTTTGTAGGAATCAACCATCTAGCCAAAGTGGGTAAATAGGTCCTTTCCTAAGTATAGTGGAAGTGTTCAGTTGTAGTGTGACACAAGGATTAACATGCAGGACTCCGTCCGTTCCCCAGCGAGGCAGGTGACCTGGACAGGTTGGTGATGCAGTTTGTGCTTCTCTTCTCATGTCTAAAGGCATTAAGATGATGTCACCCACCAGCTGAAGAAAAACTGTCCCATGCTACAAGGAGAGTTTCTTCTCAGCTAAACAAACATTCGAGTTATTTGGGGAAAGACATCAGGAATGCTTCCAGGAACGAGAAGGTGAAAGAGTCGTAACTAAAAAAAAAAAAAAAATAGGGCAAGAAACTTCTTTTTTTTGGGTGGAGATTGACCAGCATTTTCAAACCCCAGGGCAAATCCTTCCCAATCTAATTTCCTTTGGAACCTGAGCCTGACCTTCAGTTAAAGTGAACCAGAAATCAGAAATTCTTTTGTGTTGGGGCCACTTCATTAAATCAGTAACTATCCATTGGGCTGTGTGCAATGCACAAGCTGCAGCCAAGGCACACCACAGTGAGCATGATACTTAATGAAATTCAGTTTACAGCGTATGTATAATGATATATGAAGGGCAAGGGAAAGCCTAAGAATTGCTCTTTTAATGTAAAACCCCTAAACACTTAAAAGATGGGGGTATTTACCGTCTTGCAGAAAAGACAAAACCTTCCCTTGGATCATTTTTTATTTTATCTTGCTTGCCAGCCTTTCCTCCTAGATTGATAGGGGAAACATGCTGCCTTCCAACATAGCACCTGTCTTCTGCCTGCACAGTTTGAGAGAGAGCCTACTGCCTGACACTAACAGCAAAGCTTGAACACATTTCTGATTTACTAACCCCAGAGCTACTGGAACTAACTTTGTTTTAAAACACCCCAAATGTTTTCTACTCTCCCCGTATCTTCTTTAAAACCTATATCTGGAAATAGATCTATTCTGGGTGCATGGTCTGATGTGGGAGTATCTCTAGAGTGCCAAGTGGATATGTTGTGTTTATGGCAGGAAGACACCCTCTATTAATTCTCTTTTACTAATTAATACGTTATAGCTGAAGTGTGTTGTTGCCTGCTTCCTTCTGTATTGGGTGATGGTTTCTTTAGTCTGAAAAAGTAGGGAGGAAGTTGCATAGGTGTGAGGTACAAAATCTGTGAGTAAAATTCAGGGAAGGACATCTATGGAGTTAACCATAAATGCTGTGTTATGATACTACCAATAGGAAAGTAAATTTAGTTATGAAAAATAGTTCAACTGCTCTGTGTCTTTTGGATTTCTGTTAATATGGAGGGTGGGAGATAAGCCACTGGACTATCTTGGTGGGTTTTAAAAGCACTGATCTTTGTTCTGCTTGCATTTTGCAGCTCAAGCTTGGATTGGTTAGGATTTAAGACAGTAAGACACGATCTTTTGCAAACCCTTTGCAACAAGACTGAATTTAGTCATTGAAGGAATATGAAGAAAACTCATATATTTGAAAAGGGGGGCTCAGAAATTTCCAGGAGAGCTGTATGTTTATTGCTTTCATGTTTAGTACTTCGCATTCTCTGTGGTGCAAACTTCACTTTGCTCTGAACTGATATGTGTTAATAAGATGTCAAGATGTGTGATGTCTGTCCAACTGAGGGATAGCTTTCCTTGTTGAACAGGAAGGAGAGAGAGAAAAACTGTGGCTATTGTGCTTCCGCTGTCCAGCCCATCTCACCTTGCTGCAGACCCAGGAAAAGACAGAGCCCAGAAAGAACCCACAGAAACAATGGCAGCTCCAGGCCCAGCCATTCCCAGTAGGTGATGTTTCAGGTTGGGGTAAGAAGGGACTAAGATTGCATACTTTGAAACATAAAATTACGTATACCTTTTTCTTTATTAGTCAAAATTAAACAGCTGAGAATAATAGTCTCCCTGTTAAGACTTCATGCTGCTTAAAACTGGTACTCATTGACTTATATTTGCATATTAAACAGCTTCTTAGAATTGCTCTTTGGTACTTGCTAATCATACCATGTGAAGGGCAATGTTTTGTTGCAGCTTCTGTATCTTATTTGAATTGACTGTTTGTCCTTGTCTTGGCTTTCCCCTTAACTTTGTCCCACATGCAAATCTCAGTTTTCAGGGATGCTGAAAATCTGTCCTTATGCAACTCAGATTAATGACACTCTCTGGGTTGTTCTGCATAAACTTTCTGAACCGAGTGCTCAGAAATTCATTTGGCTATGGAGTCTTAATGTCCTGCTTCATAGGAGATGATTAGAGTAGAGGACGTGCGAGCCAAATGTGCTTGGAGTGAGGCTGAACCGTGAGGTTCATGCCGTGGTCCAGCCTTCACAAGTCCAGATGTTTTTGTGATTCTCTTCACGGCTGTCCGTTCCCTTGAAAGATAAAGTTTGAGCAGCAGAGATAAGTGTTTCTTGTGATGTCTAGGCCAGTGTTTCAGCTGATACCAGAAAGGAGGGTGTCATGCTCTGAACTTGGGAAAACATTAATCAGGACACACGGTGTTTGAGGAGACCTAGATTTCATTCACTTGCCATAGACAGCTAGTGCTACTTTTATTTTTTCTTCCCTCTCTCGTTGCTTTGTTTTATTTTGTTGCTACCAAATCAAACTTTGGACCTTGAAAGTCAGATTTATATCCCTGCTATTTTTGTTCAAGACTTTGTTCCTACCTCCTGTGTCTGAGAGCAAGTTACATTTTTCTTCTCTAAGCCTCACAGGGTAGGAGTGCATTGAATGTGCAACTTTCCCATATGCTACTGTGCTTGCTGGAAATACTGAGGTTCTGAATACCTTACAGCTGTAGGCTTATGCTGTTGTTAGACATGTTTGATTGCAGTACTGACCACTGGTTCAAAGCAGATGTTCTCACTGCAGGCTTAAAAGATGCTAGTTCTATCATCACAAGCTGCCAAGTGTGATCTAGGTCTTGTTCAAATTGTTCAAATACATTAACTTTTCTGTTGTTATTGCTTTTTTTCTATTCGATTTAATTATTAACCCTTATCAAAAGTTTGATTTGATTTATGCAAAGAAGATAGATCTTTACACTTTGGTTTAGAGTAGCATATCTGCTGCAGCTCATGTGCTTGTGAAAGCCCACGTTTCCAGATGCTGAGTTCACAATGATGGTGGAGTAATCATCTGAAAATTTAAATCTGTGCTTATTTAGGAGTTTGCTGCTAGTGATTGCTTATGTCAAAGTCCTTAACTATTTTAGGAGAAACTGTGAGAACTATGAAGGAAACTTTCTCTGTTTTGTTCAGCTGCTGAAGATGCTCAGATAACCATTTTGTGAAGGATGAGAATAACCCTGTGTCTGTCCTCCCGAGTGCAGCTCCAGAGTGAATTTGGTGACTGCTTGCCTACATTTTTGGATGGAGAGTGGTATGGATGGAGGCCAGGAATAGAAATACAACTGAAACCACGAGGTATCAAATTGGTAGAATAGTAATAGATTACTAGTATAAGAGAAAAAACGTTGGTGACTTGCAGAAGATTCCTCACTGTTCATTTGCTTTCTCAGTGTGACTCTGATAGTACAGATGGCTACAATCTCAAACTCTGATATTTCCCAGATTTCCAGGTTAGTGGAAATTAATTTAGATGTTATGTTAATTAGCAGGAGTTGTGAGGTCAGTGTTCTTGATTTGAGAAAAGCAACTTAAATTTGAGTTTGGAGCTGATGTGGTTCTAATGTGTTGGGTTTTTTTCCCCCTAAATTGCATTTCTAACTGTCTTTATTACAGTAATTACATGTGGTAATGATGGAAAAGGAGAGATGAACTTACTCTGCTGCATTTTTCTGCATTCCTGTAAAGCAGAAAATAAATGGGAAATATTACATATTTTCTCTGCTGGTTTTAGTGGCTCTATTCTGCAAAAATCCTTTTCCCCTTTCGTTTTTGATTAATGAAGTTCTGCTTCATTCTTTATTTCTTTGAGCTGTAGACTGTGGGAGCTGCTTGAATCTTTGCCAGTGACTGTCATGAAGCAGTTGCACAGTCCTTATGTGGCTTTGCCAGCATGTTCAGTATCATCTGTCTTCTTATTAGTGCTGTGTTCCACCAATTGAAAATACAGCTGTGAATGAGCTGAGGTGCAAATGCCAAGAAGCAGCTTTAAGAATACGTCAAATTAAAAGTATTTCAATGCGATTTTTCTCTCTCATGTGGCATCTTCTCTGCCTCAAGTCAGTACATCCTGTAAGTCACTAAAAGCCAGTATGGATTATTGCTTTGTTAATATTGTTCTTGACTTTTATTAGGTAATACGATACAATTTATGGAATAAAGAATATGTTGGAAGACTCAGTAGGGCAGCATTAACTCCATGGGCCAAGTGGATTCATGGTAGTAAATGAAACTAATGCTTAGCAAAGGTTGCAGTCTGGCTTGAAACAGATGACTCTCTGGGAAAAGCAAAAGGGCATATGCAGTTCATAGGAGGAAATGTTTCATCTTATTGGAATCTTTCCGAAATTCAGCTTAAAGCAGTCAGTTGCTTTGCTACCTTTGGAGGTTGCTACAGTTTTATTAGGAAAACCAGTTGTAAGGAGATATATACTCCATGTTAAGGTAACCAGAGCCTTTTAAAATGTAATATCCCAGAATGACCTCTTCTTTGGTTTACTGTGCCTATGTTGGAGGTAAGACAAGCAGGCAGAAGACCTTCCTGATGGATGACCCATCCAGCACTACCAGCAAGTGACTGCTTACTTGTCCTTTCTGTGCCTGGGGGATGAACAGTGTAGTTGCAGTGTCTAATGGAGGAGACCCCTCTGGTGTGTTGCTTTCCTCAGGCTGTAAAGGCTGGGTCAGGTGACTTTGGAGGCCCCAGTCAGGAATTACAGGGGGGAAAAACCAAACCAAACCACCCTGAAGGTGTAGAGGTAGAAATTACTTCCTTTTGCTGCTGAATCAGAAACATTTAGGTGTCACCAGGGCATGCAGGGCTTTGTGACTGAAGACACATTTCTTCCCATCCCGCTTTGAACTCACAGGTTTGTGTTTCAGTTGTGCTGATAGTGCTTGGTGTATCGATTTCCACTAAATATGGCTGTTTTCAGCAGGTGCAGTACTTGGAAAATGAATATTGAGCTTGGTGCAGCAGGATTGACATCTTTAGACAGTTTGCACAGTCCGTGAATATAGAGAATAGATGTGGAGTTTCAAGTTTTGCTGAAAGAGTAGTTTAGCAGACCCTTTTGCTCCCCAGGAAAGAAAAAAAAAAAAAAAAGGAAACCTAAGTGAAGCTACATTAAAGTTTTTGAAGAATTAATTTTTTTTCACACATGGTGGAAATGTCAAATGTGGAGATGGTTCTACACAGGCATAGATTGGTGAGGTACACTTCTGTTGCTGGGCAGCAAGGGCCAAGCACTGAGCTTTACGGGTATCAGTTCTGCTGCTTTTATGTATTTTTATGGAGCAGGGAAAGGCATGAAGGACTGGGCTTTGTCTTGCCCATTTTCTTGGTGTTCTCCTTGATGTCACTTGGACAAACCTGGGGAAAAAGGTTGTGAAGTGTGTATGCAAAAGAGTAAATGGGGGTGAGAAGGAAACTGGAACACAGACATGCATATAGTCTGTGCAGGACTGTGTTGAGGAGCCCAGGTGGCCTCAGCTTTGCTACTTATGGACTTGGCTTTTCACTCTTTTTTTTATTCCCCAGTTATTTAAGTAGCCTCAGAAGATAATGCTTCCATCAGTAAATTCCATCACTGACGGGGTTAAAGTGAAAATCCTTAGGAAAGGATGCAACATTAAGTCTTTGTTTATCCAGTACTGTGATTGTTCCTCAGTAATCCTGAGTGGTATTTTTTTAACCCTGGAATAAAAGGTTTCTTTTGTCCTTTTCAGTTGATCCATTTAACATGAACTTTTTTTCATTAATTCTTTCTTGTCTCTTGAGTTCTGGCAGAATTGCTTTACATCAGCTGAACTTTTGTAACTGTCCATATGTGTTTTGTCAGACCAAGGTGAATGTGATGCGTTTGACCTTTTTTCATTGCAGAGTAAATAATTTTACCTGTGACCTTTGCCACAGATGTGGACAGTGGCCAAGGCTCAGTCCACTTGGAGCCTCAGTTCTGCAGAGACCAAACTGCACTGGACAGGATGAAGTGTATCAGGGTGGTCTGAGCTTTTCTTGGTAGGACTTCTGTCTCTTGAAAATCATACTGATTTCTTTGACAAACACAAACATTTTGAATAAAATCGCTAAAATTGAACCTTTCTGCCTTCCCTCCTGTACTTGCAGTTACCAGTTAAACACAGAACTAGAACTGCATATAGCCTGTCTTTATAAAAAATAATTAGTTTTCTATTTCTGTGGACAAAGTTATTTGTGCTGTTCTATGTAGCTGTCTGCTAAGAGGAATAGTTTCAAGTCATCAGTGAAATTGGTTATATGTAGTTTGAAAAGATAAAACCAGTGAGCCACGTTAATTCCTGCATTGTTGATTTCAGATTAGTAGCATAAGGGGAAAATTTTATCCATTTTTCTTCTGTGTAGCTATATTGACTACAGATGCAAAAGGCAATTTGAAAACTTGATAGATACTGTACACAGTGCTTTATGGCTTCCTGGGTGGTCTGCATGGAGTTTACAGACATTAGACAATGCATTTCTCACTGGCCTGGTAGTTGGATTTCTGTTGGATACTTGGGAGAAATTCCCATGCTAATGCCAGCATTGAATTGGGCACAGGATTTGCATCATTTTTAGAAATTGCTATACTTGGCTGTTCTTCTGTTCATATAATCACAATTACATGCTTCATTATGAAGTTGTTTTCAGTTGTCAGATTCTTATTCGATTCTGACCTTCCCGGAAATGTAGAAATGCATTTTGTTGCTGACCTTAGATGACCTCTTGTTCTTATGGGGCATGATGAAGCTTCATTTCCCGTGTTCACTCATTTCTGTCCTTCTGTACACTGCTGGACCACACTGTCAACTGAAATCTGTAGCTTCCTAGCCCAGGTGAGTGTGGTCCTTAGATTGCATTGTGCTCTTTTAATAATGTTGCTTTTATTTCTCATGAACCTTTCAGCCTTTTGTGGGCTGATAACATAAAGCCTCTGTCAGATTCTTCCATGATGCTCTTCCAGTAGATGTGAACTAAGTCCTTTATTGCCTTTACTCATTTTTTGCATTAAAAATAAATCCTTTGCCACACAGCCACATATAGGTGTCTTGTCTGGAAATCGATGGGTCAGACGTGGCCTTGGCTGGATCAGACCTACCAGCATGGTTAGATCTGAAGGGAGTTCTCCAGAAGTGTAACTCTCGGTGGCTCTACATTGTCCTTCAGTGCAGAGACCCCCTCATGGTGGGAGCATGAGGGAGTGTCATTATGATGATGATGGTGGAGGCCAACATCAAACCACAGTTAGCACAGTCAGCTGGCCCAAGCTAGTTTTTGGTGGAGATGCTGGAGTATTTTTACCTTGTCCTCTCTAACTGTTTTGTGCTGTTTTGTCTAATATTCCAACTCTTCTTTGTCCCACTGTGTGAAAAAGAGGGGAAATGTTTTTGTGTATCAAGCGATTAACTTGGTGAGTAAAGGCTTTAAACTAAGGTGCTGGGAGGAGAAAGCAACCTATAGGTTAGAGAACAGAGAGGTGACGTGAGTGCCAAGGCAGGCTCTTGCCACCTCTGTTTTCAAGGGAGGAAAGGGTAGGAGTGGGACTGCCCCTTCCTCAAGCTTTGAGTTATGTGCTCGGTCCCTCTCCTGTCACCATCACACCCTGACCAAACTGTGTTTTAGATTCAGCTGTACTTCAGTTTAGTGGGTCTGTGTTTCATCTTGTTTTAATTTAAATACATAACTCCAGACAAGTATTGCCTTGCCTGCAGCTGGGCTATATGTGTTTGGCTTTCTCCAGATATTTGGGGCTTTATCTGTCTTTTGTGAATCCAGGCCGCTTACAGCCAGAATGAGAGCTGACTTTTGGCCCCTGTATTCGTAGAGATACAACTAAATGACATTAGTAGTCTGTAACGAGACTGATTTTTGCTGAAAAGGAAGGTAACTTTGGCTCTGTAATTTTAGAGGGTCCTAGTGTCTTTCCTGGGGGGGCAGCATGTGATAGAGATTCATTTCCAAGGTAATAGTAATACTGATTTCCAAAAGTGTCAGTGAGTGTGAGATGGTCTGTGGTGAGGGCAGCATTCCTCTGCCTGCAGTAGCTTGCACGTCTCACCAGCCAGTGAGAGGAAGGAGCTTAGTTGCTTCTTAATGTTACAGCTTGAAAGGATAATTTACACCCTCCTGAAAAGCAGGAACACATCTGTGCTTCTGGCTTGAAACTGGAAGTGTTATTTTGTTTTGTTGTAGTTCATACATCTCTTGGAAAGTATCCATTGCAAGGTAGTTGACATATAATTTTATAAGATTACTTTATCCCTCTGTCAGTAACAATCAGAGAACGTCAAAACTTTAAACCTAGGGAAGGTAAAACTCATGTGAGAAACAAAAGGTAAATCTTGTGAAACATTGCAATGGACTCTGTCATCTGTGGTGCTTAGACTTCAGCATGGATGTGTGTTCTGGTGCTTTGGTTGCAAAGCTCATGAAGTGCTGAGTTAGTAGAAAGCCCAGGATGTTGTTGTAGTTATGAGGTGATATAATCTCTTATTGCATTTCCTCTTTTTGTATTTCCTGTTGGGAAGAAGGGAATGTTGGCTTGAATGAGATAAGACTGATGGCAGGTGGGTCAGTGGCTGTAGATGCTTTTAAAAAAATAATGATACAAAAAAAAAATCTCTTTTGCTGTTGGCTCACTATGGATGTTGTTTTTGGGAGTCAGGAGGGTTAATAAAAATTGAAGGCATATTTCTTTTTCTGGAATGGATACCTTCCTATGCACAATCCTACATGTGGAGGAGGTAAGGTTGGACAAGACGTAATTTCTTGTGGGAGGAATGAGGTGGGAGGAAGTTATGACAAAAGCAGCACATGAGGGAAACAAGACTGTCAGCACATGGAAGGTGGAGGAGAGAGGCACAGGTGCATTTCTAACGTCAAGTACAGCAGGGATGGTGGGTGGCACCCGGGTGCTGGCAGAGAACAGACAGTATGTGCCAATATCGAGTGCACACGTGTTCTGCAGCTTCTGTTACCTGAGTTATGTCAAATATAACACTTCCCTCAGGAATTAAATCTTAATGGGATTGAAACCATTGGCACAGTTTACATTGACCTATCTGGTGAGATGGTTTTGTCTCAGGAACTTTGGTTTAGGCTTTCCTGCTCTGCCGGTAAGTGATGATGTGAAAAGCTTGTGATCTTCTGCGGTAAAACTACTGCAGCAGAAATTCTGGGGGGATCTTGTGAGGAAAGCAATCTTCTGTATTTCCAGTGAGCTCTAAAAGCTTAATAGAATTTTTTTCATGTTGTTTCTTTTAATACACCCCTATTGGATTATCTTTTGCTTCTCTGTTTGTATTATTTTTTTACTGTATGTAGTGAGACCCAGCAGTTCCCAGTGTGAGAAGGCCACTGAGCTTAACCCAGTGAAAGGACACTACACCTTTTACTTTATCTTGTACATCTCACATGAAGTCCAGTATCTCTCTTTTTTGTATCAAGTGTTTGATTTACAAGATCACAATATATTCAAAGATGCTGAATGCTAAGCTTACATTATACAGTTAAGGATGTTATGAGTGATAACTTTGTTTCTGTAGCTGTCCCCTGTTTGTAGCATAAACTCATTTTGTGGTTTCCTATTGAACAACATCTGAACTTGAAGCATTTTTGCCACCATGAGTCACTTACTTTTGAAGAAGGGCTGCTTGATTACGAAGTTGTGTGTTGGAATAGACAAGGAATGAAGAAAAATTTGAAAACTCTACCATGTCAGAACTTAGGAGGAATGTTTGTCATACAAATTAGTGGCAAAATTCTTTGTACAGCAAACAGAAGAGCTTTGTTTATCACTGCATGAGTGGTTTCAGTAATGCTTTGTTTTTACGACTACACATAGCTTGATTGATTCTGGTGATTTCTAAATTAATGATTACCCATATGTTCTCTTGCTTAGTATTTCGTGGAGATTCAGAAATGTTAATTTGGGAATACCTTGAAGTAACAATAATCTGTATTAACAGCTGCTAGTGACTAGAAATTACGATATAGCTATTTTCAGTTAGAAATAATTATTATCCTTCCATGAGGACTTGCAACTTTTTGGTTTTGATGCTTTTTGCAGAGGAGACACTTGCAGTTTTTTTGATAATGTGTCCCTTCCTTTTGTTTTACAGAATATGACAAACTGGGCTTTCTCCTGAATCTGGACTCCAAATTGTAAGTAGAACAGTAGGACTCTTCTTCATTTCTGTAGTTACAGCTTTCTGTTGTAAGCAACTTTTATGTCACCTGGGCAGTTGGCTCAGTGGACTCTCCACTTCTACCTGGGACAGCCAAGTCCTGCAGCAACTGGGCAATTATGACTCCTTTCCTTGCACTGGGCTCTGCAGGCCAGCTTGGGTTGTGGATCACAGTCATTAATGCCTTAATAAGTGATCAAGAGGCTATAAATACCCACCTGAAGCCATGACTGTCAGTCTGCTATAGATATCCTACTGTTAATCTTCCAAATGAAAAATGTAATTAACACTGGAAAGCAGAAGGAACGCGAATCTGCAATTTGCTGGGATGCTTAGAAGTTTATATTTCCTTTCCTCCTGTTTCTTTAAAGATGGATACTACTATTTTTGCTTATAAACTAGAGTGGAAAGAACCTCAACACAAGGCAGGGACCACTGCTGTGTCGGAAGAACAACACGGTGCTGAAGGATGATGATACTCCTCGTGCTTTTTGCCAGAACTCAAATCAAGACTGACCTGGTTAACACTAGGGGTCAGTAGCGACCCTGTTTCTGAGGTCGGCAGCCTTGCGGTAATTTTGGCGTTGGGAGCAAAAAGTCTCTAAAAACCTACCGCTTGAAAAGGCACAGAAGCAGTCTGCTGGCTTTGAACGACTGGAGAACGCGTGCCCTGCGCCATGTGTCGTGTTATTATAAACCCCATTCTTAAAGTTTTGAAAATTTCGTGGTACTTGTAGGGTGTAACATTTTGAGTTTAGTCTTGCTGAATTGCTTGGGAGCTTCCATAATGGAATAAAAGCCTCATAAGTGTGTCGGGAACTGCTGTTTGCAGAACATGACAAAGTCTCTAGGTAGGAGCTTCTTTTACAGAGGCAGCTGGATACATAAACTCAGTTATAGTAACATATGGCAAAAAGGTAGCAGAACATGTATGAGAAGGAAGGGATATTGATTATTTATTTATTTATTTTCCTCCTGAAGGCCCTGGATCTCATTCAGTGGGCAGGAAGGATGGCATTGACTGCATGAATAGTTTCTTTCTGCTCTCATCTAGTGTAGTGTTTTCTGCAGTTTTTGTTGGGTGCTGTCTGGAACCTGTACTGGTTACAGAGTTACCAATTTTCTTTATTGAACTTTCTGTGTTGGGCCATCCTTGTGATTTAGAGGCACTAGTGTATGTACCTGTACAACCCTGTGGGGTGAGATGATACATTATCTCAAATTTATACATGTAGAAGTCAAAGCAAAGAGATTAATCCAAAACTGTGGAATGGGTAAGTAACCTTTGAGTGAACGTCTTGGTGTTGGTAAGGGAAAAATGTTTTATAGGTTTTTAAGTGGTCTGATTGGTTTTTTCCAGGCTGTTTTGTGTATTTTGTAATGTTCAGTTCATTGAACGTGCCCATTCACTCTCCACACACTGTTGGTGTATCCACCTGTGCTGTGTCCAAACCACTGCTTCAGTCTCACTCTTCGTACTCCTCCTTCATGCACTACCCTTTTCTTTGTTGCTTTTACCAAGTCCCACTGAGTCTTCCTTCCCCTGAAGCCTCTGTTACATCCTTTGCTGACTTACCTGTTTGATTACAGCTCTCCAAGACATGGCCTGCTCCTTCTTGTACTTACAGTATGGGGCCAAGTGAAGTTTTTACCTGCTGGAGGGCTTCCAGAGCCCTGATTTATTTTCTTAAAACCTCCCCATGATAAAAACTCTCCAGTATTTTTGATTAAAGAACTGTTTCGTTGACTACTTAAAAAAATATCTTCATATAGCACCCTAAATGTGCATGTTTGCTTTTCAAAGCCCTAGAGTTAGTTTCTAGAAAGACTTGTAAAAAATCAGCACGATTAAAATAAATATTATGAAGTGGCTTAAGGAACAAAGAAAGCAAGTATTGTGCCTAGGTGAAATCACTTTTTTTTAACTGCAATGGTCCTTTGTTGGTTTTTGGTTGGCTTATTGTTTGTTTGTTTGTTTTTCTTTTGGTTGTTGTTTATTTGTTTCTTCTGTGTAATGAAAGCTGTCCCTGCTTTGAGAATAGACCTGATGACCTACAGAGTTCACTTCCAACCTGAATTATTCTATGACTTTTTTTTTTTCTATTTGATACCAAGGAAGGTAAAAATAGCTGAAAATACCACAAAACATACCAAATCAATTTTGAAAGAAAAATGGGTGACAGTCTGGGGGACTTTTGCTACCATTCCACAAGTTCAGCTTGTGTGGTCAGGGTGCCAAATACGTTTTCTAAGTTCAGACTGAATTCAGTGGAACTTAGTGGTAAAAAAATACTTCCTGTTACTCAGTCAAGATGGTACCATCATAGAAGCACTTTCTGGTTAAAAAAAAGTTGGTTGGAGTTGAAAGGGATAATATGTTCTGCACTGATGACTTTGTTGGCAGAAATAATTTAATTACATCTGTTGTTCTGATATAATTGTTCTGGTGGAATTTTGCCATAGATCATAACTTTATAGAGTTCACTTAATTGACAGCATGTGAGAATCTCTGTGACTTGGAGCACTGAGGGCAACAATTAAGTTTTCTTCTTTTTTTTTTTTTCTTCTTAATCTTTCATTTGCTCAAAAATCTGTTGCTGACTGTGTTAGTTGATGTTGTTGTAACTAATGACCTGGAAGACTAACATTTTCTACAAAGGTAGATCTGCATGAAAACTTAAGTGCTCTGACTTGCATTTTAAATGACATACAGAGGAAAGTGTTTGATATAATTAAGTAGTTATGTGTCCTTTTGCCTTTGCAGCTTTGGTTTTTTTCATGCATTGCTGCTTTAGTGTTCTCTACCCCGAGGATACCCAGGACATGTTATTCAGATGTAGTACAGTCTGCTGTGGTTACAGGAATGTAATGGTTCTGTTCACTGGTTCTCCTTGAGTTCATGGAAATGGTAATGGAACCAGATTTGTTCACTTTGGAAAGAAAATCTGCCAGAAGCACTTGAAAAGTGATTTCTGTGGGAACTGTATGTCTGATGGATGCTGTTATGGGCAGGAATCTCACGTGGAAGGGGATTGGCCAGTTTTAAAGATACTGTATGGATGCTTCATGGAAATGGCTGGTTCTGAACAGTCTTGTTGGGAAGGAGAATACTAAGATGGAATATGCTTCCTTTCTGGTGCCTGTGCTCTTCTTTAGAAAGCCTTTTAGCTTCTAAAGGGCAGGATGATCAGGTGGGGATTGTTAATGACATACAGGATGAACAGAAAGCCGAGGACTTCTGTGGGCAACACAGTTTATGAATTAGTTGTTCCCTTAGTCAAAACAAGACATAAGGCTCCTTGGGACCAGATCAGTGAAAAAGATCTGTTGCAAGAGGAGTTTATCCTTTAGTCATGCTTGTACATACCAAAATTTAGAGTGTCAAAACAAAATGTGCACAAAGTATGGGAAAGGCCAGTTGCATCAGTTCCTCCCAGGTAAAGAGGTTTCCCAAGCAGCAGAGCCACATAACCTTTTTTAAACCTATAAGAATAAAATCAAATATTTACTGATTGTGTAGAGAAAAGCATTTATACAAAAAATACGATACAATTTGCAGGTCTTCGTTCTCAGAGGGGCCGGTAGTTCCTGAACAACTTAAAGCCATCAATCACATTAGTGACTCAGCCAGTGGATTACTAGGTGCCACCAAATGCCAAGATTTGCAGTCACTTTCTAACATCTGTGCTTGGCAACGAGTTGCATGCTTTTGTTATTCTCAAATATTTATATTGTAGTAGTTCTTTGAGGCTGGCCAGGTCTTAGAAACAAGAGTCTCATTCACTACAAATTCTGAATCATTCCCTGAGCAGAATCTATGTTTGCATTGAATTAAATGAGATTTCCTAAGGAGGATCAGCATATGAACGTGTAGTTAATTATAGACTGTATTTAATGCTTATTAAGTGGGCCAAGCTGAAGGTTGCATGGTTGTTCTTTGTTCTGTCACTTAGTACTCTCTGAATACTTGGTTTAGTGACCTTAAGGATTGCTTTGAGTTTGCCTTGGCAGATTACAAATGCAGATTCACTTGTCTTGAGCATATCAGAAGTTCCTTTTTTGTAAAAACCCATGTGATTTGAGGGCTTTTCCCTCGTGTTGTTGCCCTTGTGTTTCTCTGCCAGCTTTCCTTCTTACTCTGCTGGTGTGCCATTTGCTCGGTGAGATGGAAGCTAGTGACTGCTGCTTCTGTCCTTGTTTCAAACTCATCCTTCAGAAAACACTTTCAAAGGTATTTTAGCAGTTTTAGATTGCAAATTTGGTGCTTCTAAACAACAGCCAGAAGAAAGCTCAGCTTGGGAGCTTGGTAGATCTTTTCACCTGCTGCCACAGTCAGGTCAAAACTTTGGATGTCAAAATCTCAGCTGATGAGTGATGAAAGAATCTTCCCAGGGTTTGACTTTGACTGGCAAAGAACCACTCCTTCATAAAGTTTTACAAATGTTAGAAGATATGCTTTAGCTTCCTGGAATCATTCCACACTTAAACAAAAAGACAGTGGGTATTATAATGTTTTAACTTGAGAGGGAATTTTTTTTTTTTTAAGGTAAAAAAAGGCAAAAAAAAATTACTGCTCCTCTCAGTTAGAAAAATGGCTATGAGATCAATATTGTTGACCACAATAACGTGATACTAACATATTATATAAGTACACTATATTAACTATATGGTATATATTTTATATTGTGTACTTTGGGAATTTTTAGGCAGTACTTAATTAGGAATATTTTTTTCCAGTGGACTCTGTGTTTTGCAGGATGTTTTGTGATTCTGTGTATTTACATGTTTCTTCATTATTATAGAGTAGATTTGGGAGGTGCAACAAAGTTTTTTTGAATATTCGTGATGATTTCAACTTTGTTTTAAAAAGAAAAGACAAAGAAATTGAGGCTTTGGAGAGGGGGGAGAAAAGCCAGAAATAACAACCTTCACCCTGCAAACTCAAATGAAACTTGATCTAGACTTTGAAAGACCATA